AGGGAGGGAGGGAGGGAGGGAGGGAGGGGAGAGGAGAGAGCAGTCATAGAAGCGGTGTGGTTGCGGGGGTGACGTACGGTTCTCGTGGTAGCATAAAACGGCACGTTTGAATCGACGTAGCCGGCACGCGAAACGTATAATTTCGGGCAATAATTCCTGGCCACGGACGATTTGAGGCGAATCGGCGCGTGCTTCCGGATGGTCGAGTCTCCCTTCGATCCGCCGCCGGTGTACCAACACCGGGTACCATCGCGGCCGGTATAGCGTGCTCCGCGGGCGGAGACATCGGGGAAAAAAAGGACCACCCATAAAATTGAATCGATCGACTAAATCACCGCCAAAGATTGCCCGCGGTATCCACGGCAGAGAACGACGTAACGTCCCGTGGATTTCGCTCCAGGTGCATTATTTTACTCTGAGAAATCGATGCCGCCCTGTCCTTACTTTGTCACGTGTCGCGCGTGATCGTAAGGAGAATCCGTAAGACGGAAAATTGTCATGGCGCGCATAAGAGCCATAAAGTTACATAACTGCGATAACGGATTTCGATGAGAAGGAAGGAAATACAGCCGGACGATAATGGAGTTCCGATACTTCATCGTTCAAGTATCACTCGGCGTGTACAGCAGCTACATAACTGAGAGCAAATTTTTCTACTCAAATTTCTCTAACTCACCGAAATACGTGGAACTCGGGTTCGCGCCGGTCACGTTCCGCTGCAGATCTGGAACAGAAAAATGTGGTTTTGCTCATTAGATATAGAAATATAAGTAATATAATAGTAATATAGGAAATAGGAGTAATTTACAAGGAATAAATTACAAGGAATGGAATCTCACTCGAAATCGCGAGAGTGAATGTTTCACTCGAGCTTAGAGTGAATTAGTGTGAGTTTATATGAAGCGAATGTTTCACTCGATTAGTGCGAATATGTTTCTGTGACAATGAAGTACATCACTCTTCAGTTTTGAGTGAAAATATTCACTCGACAATTCAGAGCGGAGGATTCGTTCTACATGAGTGAAAAAATCATTCGAATTCGAGTGATTCAGTAGTCATTTCTTTTTTGGGGTGAATCTTCATTCCAAAAAAATTAGAGGGTAAAGTTTCGCCGATTAGATACGAAGATTAAGGACTGGACGAGTGAATACGCAATACGAGATATGAACGTGTCAACCCTTTGCGATCGTCGTAATTCAGCAACTTTTATTCCGAGACTCGTACCCGGTATAGTATTCAGTATATCCGGATATATAGCGGTTCCCCCAATCGCGAAAAGTTAAAAGCAAGAGAGTGCGGAAAATTTATAAACCTACCTTCGAGTCGGCTCTGCTCGGCCCGAACCGGATCCTCCGGCACGGCATCCGCCACTCAAATTGCACCCCCGAGAACCGCATCATCCAGCATGGTCACAAGCTCCAGCAGATCTGAAGCAGAAAGCAAGTTCTCCGGTTTGTTATATGAGTAGATACCAACGTATCGAGAATACGAGAATCGTATGTTTCTTCTTCAAACTAATAAAAATGAAAAGTGGTAAAGTCACCCTTAAAAAATATTCCATCTTGCTGCCACTGTTCGTGGATTCTGGCACAATGATCGCGCGTGCAGAGTAATGTAACGCGTTTCACACACGCTTCGGTTGATTTGGAAAAATCGGAAATAACGAGCGACGTCTTTCAATGCGTTCACCCTCGTGTCAATGGCTATTATGATCGCTTGGCTCTTGTACATTGCGTGCCTGTTCCAACGAGATACTGTTCACGTGACCTTCAATAGTGATTGAAAGCGCCGTTATGTTACCTCTGCACTTATTTCACTTAGTTTTCTTTCTCTATGTCGCGGAATTGATAGTATATATTACTTCATTGCATTTAATTACCTCGCCAGACACATTTTCAAATTGTCAAAACGAACCATCTTCGATGAAGCCGCGAGTTTCTCGTGGCTTCCCGTAAAAGCAAGCA